GGTCTTAAATGTAGAAAAGGATCTGTTTTATAGGCTAGTGTACATTTATGACTGTAAGCATTGTTTCTTGGGAATAAATGTAAAATTACCAATGCTGCGGCTTGTGGACAGCATTTAAAAAAAAAAATGAATAATGAAAAATTTAAAAATGCCTCATGTGTTTTCAACATTTTTCGGATGCAAATCTACAACTTTCATTCTCGTGGCCTAAACAATTTATGTCATAAAAGTAAAATATCTTTTAATGGAATTATGTAACAATAATTTTAGGTTTAAACCAATGTAAACAGGGCTTATATAATGGGCCTAGTCTAGTAGTAAAGTAGTACTTAGTAGGCCTAGGCCTGGTGGTATTGTGAACCAACCTCCTGTGGCCTACCTCTGTAAACTAGCAGCTAGAATCGGCCTGGGCCCTAGATAGGGGCCTAGCCTAGGCCTAGAAGGAAAGAGTAGGCTTAGGCTAACTTAGGGCCTAGGCCTAGCCAAATTCCTAACTGGCTAATTCTGATTGTATTCAAACAATATCTATTACCTAATGTCATAATACTTACACATAAACTCTTATTTAAGCTTGGTTTAAACGTACACTACTGGTAGAAAACTGCGTAATATCGAAGCATTTTGAAATACCTTGTTGGGCACCGTCTGGATGGTTCGGGAATTCCCTCTTACTCAAACTCAATGGAGCAGCAATGTGTCAGACTTGCGTTGAAGTCCGTCGATTAAACAGGCTAGCGTTTCGTTTGATCCCATGGTTTGATGGATTTGCAAAAATAGTGAAAACTAGTCTGGGGGTACGAGAAAAAAATCCCTTTATTTATTACACTGTTACGTCTATTGTGAGATCTTCAAAGATCAAATTTCCTACTTTGCTAATTCGTTAGGACTATGTGCGACGCAATGTAACCCTAAGATGACGCAAATGTATTATTATTGTGAGTTGGCTGTCTTATCACATTGGTGGTTTTTTCCGCAAATCTGGCTTTGGATATGACGCAATGCTATAGGCTAAAAATAAACAGATTTCACAAAGTAAAATCGTCGGCAGAAGAAATTCAAAGTTCAAAGTTTTCATGGTTCAAAGAGACATAGTATTCACAGAACCAATCCTATTTGAAATACAGTAACTGTATTGTCCCTGAAAATGACAAAAATAATTTTTAAATTTACTTGCTCATTATTTTTGTACAATCATTGACTTAAAATAATATATGTGTACCCTGATTTTTATACTAGATAAGTTTCTATAAAAAAGAAGTAAAATTTTGCAGGGGTGGCACCAGACGTTTCCCGACCGGGGGTGGGTGATGTCCCCGACAAGAGAAAAGTGGGCGTGGTCCGGCGTTACTCAAAATATTCCGAAAATGTTTCGTGGGATGAAGCCCCCGAAAAATTCGATAATTTGAGGGTTTCTGAGCTTTATTTAATCGATTATAGATAGTCTAAATGTAGAAAATATATGCTTTTTTCTCCCCGACGAATCCTGCTCCCCCCACCCCCAAAAACTCAGATTTGTGGAGTGCAATTCAGATAACATCTCAGATATTAAAAGTGCCTTATTTTTGAAAATCAAGACAGAAAACCCCTGACAAAGTTGTTTATAATAGGATGCCGACATCCTCAAGTGAGCTGTAATCATGTAAAAATGACTGACAATCAGGGGTATCGCCAGGATTTGTCCGACGGGTGGGGGGGGGGGGGGGGGGG